ACCTTTTGGAAAATAGTGGCCTAGTTGGAACAAAGCAGGCTTGTGATTTGACAAAATAACCTGCATCATTCGGCTCGATAAGCTTTTACATTATTACACTGTAGGACAAAACAGACATTGCTTTGGTTTATGGTGCAGTATGTGCACAGTATGTTGATGAATGCCAACAATGTGCAAGAAAAGCAAGTAAACTCAAATAATATACGTGTTCTTGTGTTTCTCACTATGATTAAACTATTAACTTAATGATGACTTGATTTTCAACTAATTGTTTGAAGTTATTTTAATGTGTGGTGGTTTTAATATGACTTTTGCACACACCCCTATTATACGTTTTGCACAACCTGCACTCTGCAACTTTCCTTTTGTACATATTTGTTTTATTATTATTCTCACAATAGTTTAATTTAATTTATTTGTTATCTGTAACTTAATTGACAATTAACTTTATTCTGATTCGGACACGTTGTTCATACGAAAGGAGAGTAAAACAATCAAAAATGTCATCTTATTTGATAGTTTATTTATCTATTATCAGATTATATAACTAGTTCATACTGTATGTCTGCCCTCCCTGTCAGGTTGTTCCGTCAAATTGACCACGCATACAACAGAAGCATTGAACTCTGTCTTTATGTATCCTGGAGCCTCCGTTTCTAAAGGCTATATCAACAGTTTCTCTCTGTCTTTCATTGTTGACAAGTAGAGGTGGAAGGAGTACTCAGATTAATTGCTTAGGTAAAAGTACTATACTACATTCTAAATGAAGTAAAAGTAAAACAAGTATTGGTAACAAATGTACTATAAAGTACCAAAAGTAAAAGTACTCATGCAGAATGGCCCATTTATACACCAAATATGTTTTATTTTTCTATAAAAATATTGAATTTATGTGTTCATCACTTTAATATTGCACTTGGTATGAATGGGGTGTATTTAAATCTGTAAAATAAATATAGTTGAGTAAAAAGTTCAACATTTGCGTACAAAATGTAGTAAAAGTATGAAATAGCTTAGTATGAGAATGCTCAAGTAAAGTAAAGTTCCTAAATGTTTTTCTTAAGAACTGACATTACTTGAGTAAATGTAATAATAATAATAATAAGCTTTATTTGTATAGCACCTTTCATACAAAACTTGCGGTTCAAAGTGCTTCACAGTAGACAGTTGACCTACATTAAAATAGCATAGCATAGACATATAAAAAGTAGGCTACATTTAAATTAAAGGTACTACGATAAAAGTGTGCATTAAAAGGAGGATAGTGCAAATACAACACAAAATCAGGCATCGGAGTGCATTGAGAAATTGCATCAGAGAGCAGGAGTTAGCTTCCTAAAAGGCAAAATTGTACGAATATGTTTTGAGATTTTTCTAAAGACTTCCACCGAGCTGTCTATAGGAATTTTGTACTATAGCTTAGCCTTATGGGCATATTTAACGGAAGCTGCGTCACCAATCTTCTAAATGGTCTTCTGTGGTCAGAAGCGGCTGGGGGAGTTGAAGTGCCGGTGTTATGCCGTAGATTGAAGCCTTGCCGTAGATTGAAGCCCTGTTCGCGGGGACGAGCAAAGTGACGTCATCGCCTGTATTGAGCGTTCGCCTCGTTTTCTAAGCGGAAAAACGAAAGATCCTATTTACTTTCTCTCTTTTGAATGATATATTTCCCATCAGATGAAACAGCAAACGGCTGAATAAAGAATGTGCATACAATTGCGTGGAGGCTCGTTTTAAGGACACTTTTCAGATCTGTCACAATCTTCGTATTGGAACAAACTTCCGTTTTTGAGTCCACTCTGTTATGTTCCTCCTTCCTACAGAACAGACAATGACAGGATAATATGTCATTTGTCAGTATAGTCCTATTTTTTTAAAACCTTCTCTGTTGTTTAAGTGTCTGATAACCACGAATATAAGCAATGATATAACAGTAATTATATAACATATGTCAGACACTGTGTTATTTTCAATCAAGCCTAAAAGATTATAATGTGTTCAAACTGGCTTCACTCGCTTTAATTGCTCCTTTGAATGTAATGTTCCTCTGTGGTTTCCTACTCAACACATGTTTGTATTGTAATGCCACTCATATTTTATTTTTTATTGTATTTTAAGGTGACATTGAATGCTTTGAAATGTGCCCTAAAATAAAGTGTATTATTGATCTTATATCTGTGCCTATATCACACTGTTAATGTTCCTTATTTTAGACTAGGTTAATCCTGGTGTCAATAGGGAAGATCTGCACTGTTCTCTACATAACATGTTCAGCAGAGCAGGTATTTCTCCTGCCAGATTTGGAACCCCCCCTATCATTTTGTCCAGGATGGTCATAGACTCACCAAAATCACATTGGTGTTTGCTGTTCCCCTCTAGTTTGTGCTCGCAAAAGCATTTTACTCTGGGCCCAGCAGGTAAAAAACTAAAGAGGGGCTTCCAAATCCGGCAGACCAGGTGTTGTAGCTGCCGGATTTGGAAGCCCCCCTATATCTTTGTCCAGGATAGTCACAATTTCACCAAAATCACACTGGTGTTTGCTGTTCCCCTCTAGTTTGTGCTCGCAAAAGCATTTTACTCTGGGCCCAGCAGGTAAAAAACTAAAGAGGGGCTTCCAAATCCGGCAGACCAGGTGTTGTAGCTGCCGGATTTGGAAGCCCCTCTGTAGTTTTTCACCTGCTGGGCCCAGAGTGAAATGCTTTTGCGAGCACAAACTAGAGGGGAACAGCAAACACCAGTGTGATTTTGGTGAGTCTCTGACCATCCTGGACAAAATGATAAGGGGGCTTCCAAATCCGGCAGCTACAACACCTGGTCTGCCGGATTTGGAAGCCCCTCTTTAGTTTTTCACTTGCTGGGCCCAGAGTAAAATGCTTTGGTGAGCACAAACTAGAGGGGAACAGGCAACACCAGTGTGATTTTGGTGAAATTGTGACTATCCTGGACAAAGATATAGGGGGGCTTCCAAATCCGGCAGCTACAACACCTGGTCTGCCGGATTTGGAAGCCCCTCTTTAGTTTTTTACCTGCTGGGCCCAGAGTAAAATGCTTTTGCGAGCACAAACTAGAGGGGAACAGCAAACACCAATGTGATTTTGGTGAAGTTGTGACTGTCCTGGACAAAGTTGTAGGGGGGGTGCCATATCTGGCAGCACCTGGTCTGCCGGATTTGGAAGCCCCTCTTTAGTTTTTCACTTGCTGGGCCCAGAGTAAAATGCTTTGGTGAGCACAAACTAGAGGGGAACAGGCAACACCAGTGTGATTTTGGTGAAATTGTGACTATCCTGGACAAAGATATAGGGGGGCTTCCAAATCCGGCAGCTACAACACCTGGTCTGCCGGATTTTGAAGCCCCTCTTTAGTTTTTTACCTGCTGGGCCCAGAGTAAAATGCTTTGGTGAGCACACACTAGAGGGGAACAGCAAACACCAGTGTGATTTTGGTGAGTCTATGACCATCCTGGACAAAATGATAGGGGGGGTTCCAAATCTGGCAGGAGAAATACCTGCTCTGCTGAACATGTTATGTAGAGAACAGTGCAGATCTTCCCTATTGACACCAGGATTAACCTAGTCTAAAATAAGGAACATTAATAGTGTGATATAGGCACTAATCAATAATAAACTTTATTTTAGGGCACCTTTCAAAACATTCAATGTCACCTTAAAATAAAATAAAAAATAAAATATGAGTGGCATTACAATACAAAAATGTGTTGAGTAGGAAACCACAGAGGAAAATTACATTCAAAGCGAGTGGAGCTAGTTTGAACAAATTATCTTTTAGGCTTGATTGAAAATAACACAGTGTCTTACATTATCATATATGTTATATCATTACTGTTATATCATTGCTTACTATTCGTGGTTATCAAGTATCAGACACTTAAACAACAGCGAAGGTTTTAAGAAATAGGACTATACTGACAAATGACATCTTATCCTTTCATTGCCTTTCCTTAAAACGAGCAACCTTGCAATTGTATGCACATTATTTATTCAGCCGTTTGTTGTTTAATCTGATGTGAAATATATCATTCAAAAGAGAGAAAAAAGCTTTGAAAACTCGGCGAAACTCAATACAGGCGATGACGTCACCTGTGCGCGTCCCCGCGGACAGGGCTTCAATCTACGGCATAACACCGGCCTCCTTCAGAAGCCGGTGGAGCAGTGTTTGAGCTCAGGTGTCAAACGCTCGAGACGCTGCACGCGCGCCGGTAGCAACAGCGGCGGCTCTTGAATTAGCGAACTACACTCTTTATCTTTATCATTTGGAGGAAATATTGGTTCTGGAATATGCTTACCACTTGACTTTAGCTCATTTCCGGGTAAGCTAAGTTTCGAAAAAGTATTTTTAATATGACAGAAGTTGTTTTCTTTCGACATTCTTTCAAATCCTCCGAAGCGGAAGCGAGAGATTCCTGACTTTATACCACTTTACAGTCTGTGTTATCTCCTCGGTTATTGTAAACTGCCATATATGTGGACTTTAAAATGAGTTTATGGCAAAAGTATAATGCTTTATTGGATATTTTACTCTCCTCCGTAGCCATTAAAACATATTGGTTCTAGCGCAGCCCAGTGTTTCCGTCTAACACAGGTGTGTGTTTATTTGTACGGTAGCCTCCCATAATATCTCCCTTATTTTCCTAAAGTTTGTGTGTTCATTTCGTAACTTAATTTCCCCCCATATAATTAATTTGGGGTTGTTGGTAGAGGTATTACGTGATTTGAAACGTTTTTTTAACCACACTGACCTAGACTATAAATGTTGTGTTGTATATTTGTATGGGTGTCTGACAAGTTGCCTTGGAGCATGAGCTCACCTTAGCCCACCTAAGACCACATTGTATAAAAACAATCGTTCAAAAAACAGGACTTAAACAAGCCTCTAAAAAAGTAATTGCAGTATGCAACATGGACTGCAGTGTGTGTTTTGGTAGTATTGACTGAGGGTGTGTGTTGTGATGTAAAGTTTATTTAAACACTGTTCCTGTTCTGTAGGTAGTGTGGTGGAGCCACACAGCGCTCTCCCCTCACCCTGTCCTCGAGACCCCCTGCTCTGTCCTGACTCGCACATGGTAAGAACCTCATCTGGCTTTTTCTTCTGCTAAACCTAAAAAGTGTGGCAAATATGTTGGAAGAAGAGCTTTTACATAATTACTCTGTTATGAGTAAAAGTCCTGCAGTCAAGATATGAGTCAGCAAAGTGAATTATAACTTTGGTTGCTGGTAGGGTAAGGGCTTATTTTAGTTAACAATAAGGTAGTTTAATTATGTTGTTCCCTACCTAAGGGTCAGGGAACATTAATGATTATAATTTCTTAAATGTACATTACTGTAAAGTTGCAGCTGATAAAAGTGTTGCTTATTTTATTATTACATATACTATCATGTTTCTTGTGAATTGTAATCATATTTTGATCCATAGTAATTCTTCGTTATTTATTTTTTTAGGGGCTCTGTAAGGAAGTAGCAGATTTCTTCCGGCTGTGTATTTTCAAATTCTAGCGCACTCGAGCTGGTTTCTCCAAAATTACCTACCCCACCTTTAAGTTTTGTATTATTTAATTTTGAGAACTTAAAGGTGGGGTAGGTAAGTTTGAGAAACCGGCTCGAGATACACTTTTTGTTATATTCCATGGAATGCTCTTAACATCCCGATAGCAATGAATATCTTAAGTGCTTTGACAAAAAATCCATAAAAAAACGTCATCTGTGGAAGCCGTAGTACTGTAAAAAGCACGACCAATCATTTTAGCCGGCCCGGCTAAAATAACTGGATGGCCTACCTGCCTGTCAGCCTTCCATCTGTGCACAAACTTATCTCGTGCCCTCATTGGTCATGTGCGAGTTCGTGTGTGTTGGAGGAGGGGCTCTGTAAGGAAGTGGCAGATTTTTTCTGGCTGTGTATTTTCTAATTTTAGCGCACTCGAGCTGGTTTCTCCAAAATTACCTACCCCACCTTTAAGGTATCTAATAAATGTGGTAGCTTTCTGATCAAAAATATTTTTATTGTGTTTCGACAATGCATAAACAGTGTTTGTCATTTAGAGATGGAAAGCTAAATATATGCATACAAATGAGACAGTGGTCTGTACTGATTGTATGTAGAAAGAGAAAAAAGAATTACAAACAAACAATAACAAGGACTAAAGTAATCTCCTACATTCACTGCCAGTGAGCCTCATACACACTAAATTAATATATATGCGTGTAATACATATACATACATGCAGCAAATACCTATACTCATACAAATCTAATGTATACATACACACATACATACATATGCTGCAGATAGGCTATACCAGGGCTTCTCAAACTCCGGACCAAGGTCCGGATCCGGACCGAACCCTGTGTCCCATTATTAAAAAAAAAAAGATTCTGATAAATTAATGTACATCATCATGTACGCGCGTCTTGTGTCTGACGCGTTGTGAGAATGAACGTGCATATATATTTACTTGTGTGCGCGAGCGTGACTCGCATAGCAGGCCGCAAGTTAACCGCAAGTTTACCTTGACATACTGTATGTATGTATTGAATGCGTGTGTGTATACAGGGGCGCCGTTTACCGACAGGCAAGGCAGGCAAGGCAGGCAAGTGCTTGGACCAGAAGGGGGCCCCCAAAGAAGGTAGATTAAGAAGGTCCACAGCAACGACAACATGAAACACCCTTTAATTTACTGCAACGACATGTCGGGAAACTCCATGCATAGAGCGCCAAGAAACTGCTTCTTAATTTCAGTTTCGTTTCTCCGCTCGGGGGGGGGGGGGACTTTACTGGCATTGATCCGGACCAGTGACCTTGTATAAAGTTCACAACTGGACCTTTAATAAAAAAGTTTGAGTACCCCTGGGCTATACCAATAGCAGATCGTTTTATAGAGTGTGGAATGCATTAAAAAAAGGTTCCCAGGCTTCCTGACATTTTCTGTTTGAATATAAAAGTGAATATCTGATCTTTTCAAGTTTCATGCAGGACATAACGTCCATCAACCACTGGGAGTGAGTGGGCGGGACACTCCCTCCACTTAAGCAGGATGGCTCAACGAGCTAGGAGGAGAGCAAAGGACAGAGATCCCCGCCGTTCTGCAGTTAAATGCATCTCTTTTCCTATAACCCCAAATATGGCAGCCAGAGGATTTGAAATCAGTTCAGTACTGAACACCTGGGATAAGGTTTGAAAGATCTCTGTCCAGTACATGAATGCTGCAGCTTTAAAAGTAGAACATAATCCTTTGCAATATAGTGGAGTAGAAATATAACATAGCAGGAAATGGAAAAAAATCTACTGAACTTGAGAGTAAATGTATTTAGACACATTTTACTACTGTATACCATCAAAACACAAAGGAGGAACAAATATAAGTTAAGGTGCAGTGCTTTTTAACAGACTGCCAGTGTTAGTGTGCTTCACTTGTTTGATGTGGGGTGTAATCTTGCAATGTCACCTCTAGATATATAACTGTATCTATAGTATATATGTCTGTATTACTTGCTATATAAGCAGATAAGGAGAAATCAATGCTTTGCTACATTTTCTGTCATGTTTGGCTCAGGTATCTGTGTTGAAACCCGCTATCACAAAATGGCTTTTGACAGTGCTGAAAATATAAACTGAAATGGAAATGAACCTTTGTTTGAATCTGAATGGACTGTCTGACTCCTCTGCTCCACCAGGATCTGCAGGGCTATAAGTGGGTGCGCTGGCGGGTGTGGTTGTGTCGCGTGGCTGCCCTGCTGTCCTTGGGTCTCCTCCTGCTTGTGTTTCACTGGCGCCCGAGGCTTGGTGTCCTCACCCGCTGCTGCTCCTGCCCTCTGGCTCTGGCAGATATTCTGATAATCAGAGTGAGAAAATACATTTATTCCTACTTTGATTTAAAACCCATTATTATAAAACTGGATTTCTCTTGCAATAATTGCTTTTGACCTCTGTTTCACTTTATGTCACATTATCATTTAATGTTCTTTAATGAAACATGCACTGAAAGGTTCATTTCCAAATAAGATCTCCAAACTAGAAATGTATAAATAAATAAAAAACTGTATAACTAATAGGTTTTTAAAAGTCTTGCTTCACACACTTCAAATGAGTATTTATTACCCAGGCTGTTTGCCATCTGTTTATGTACTCATTGGGTTGAAAGGTGGATTAACATATTCCTGTGTACATAGCTGCCATATCTGCAAATATCCAGCTCTTAAAGCTGGTGCGGTGTAAGTAAGCATATTCATAACTTTATTCAATTTGTTGCTTCTGTTTCATGACATCTTGATCACTTTGCATGAATCTTAGTATAAGAAAGAAAAGAGGACCGTGTTTATGGTAGTATTTTGAGTTGTACTCAGATTCAAAGTATTTGAAGTGCCTTGTTTCAAGCAATCACAGAAGAATTTGTGTCGTTTCTTCCCTCAGGATACTTTTGGCCGGCAGCATGTGGTACAGGTGCTCACAGAAGAGATGGAGGAAGGCAGGTCAGCAACACGTCATTATCCCAGCGCTATGCAGAGATCTTAGAAAACGGTTAAAACTCTAATTACCCGGTTTGTCCCTTTCAGTTTGGGGTCGTTTGCCGGGCTTGAGGACAATGAATGGAGAGATACGGTTCAGCTGCAAAAGGAGGAGGTAAGGAAGCAGGGAACATTGTGCAGAATAATTTGCTGAGCAATCTGTTTTCTAGACTGAAAGTAACCGTGATTGTGTGACAGAAAACGCTGCTGCGCTACTACCTGTTCGAAGGACTGCGCTACATCTGGCTGGACAGGAGAGGAGCCTTCTGTCGTGTCAGGTACTGAAACAGGAGGAGCAGGATCACAGGACTGAGTACTGGATGTAAACTGATGTTAGCCAGTCCTTCTTTCTGCTCATACACAGATGTGTTTCCAATATATATATATATATACCCAGATAATGAAATATTTCCTTCTTAAATAACCACTCAGTTTTCTGTCTTTCGTCATCAGTGTCCTCAATGAGGACTGGACCTGCAAGGACCTGTATGGCTTCCAAAAGGGCCTGAGTGCCCTGGAGCAAAGCTCGAGGTAGGAAAGGATGAATGCATGTAGAGCTGGGCCATATGGAGAAAAAACAAACACCATTATATTTTTTACTAAATTCCCATAATAGGCCCTATTATGCTTTTTGGGGTTTTCCCTTTCCTTTAGTGTGTTATATAGTTGGTCTGCAAAGACTAATATCCCAAAGTGTTTCTCCCACACACTCCCCCCTGCCTGAAAGACCTACATTGGACTCCTTTGTTTACTTCTGTGACATAATGACATCACGATGTAACATATGCGCTCTAATGGCGCGTTTCCACTACACGGCCTCGTTTGGCCCCGCTCGGTATGGCTGGGCCTCGTTAGGACTGGCTCACTTTATGGCGCATTTCCATTACAATTTAGGAACTGGGGTAGTATCTATTGTAACGCAGTGTAGGCGGAGCCGTGACGTGATCTTCAGAGAACCCCAGAAAAACAACACAGCCGTTAGCTGTTAGCACTCAGAGCTCACAGCTCCTCATATATGTTCAGAAACTAGACAAAAGTTAAACGAGTACAAACCACAGACTCTCTGTGTCATGGCGAATACAGTCGCTGCTTTATTTATGTCTGTATAGGCCGTTGTTGTGAGTGTGGACGGTCGGAGCATATACTGCGTTAGCTTAGCCAATCTCCATTTAGAACACACGCATTTTAAAAGGTTTTTCGCCTGCCGTCTGTCTGCAGACTTGTCAAAGCATTAATTCATGGTTTTTACTAACCGGTATCAGTATGTTGTTACTTCGGCATCATTTTGAAACGTGTATTACAATTAAATCACGGTCAAATATGTCCATCTTGTTGTAGTTGTAGCCCCCTTGCCAGCGATGCTCTCTCTAGTTTAGCATACTCAGCCCGACTCAGCCTCGTTGTCTCTGGCCCTAGACCCGCGATTTTATGAGGCCAGAAAAACTGTGAATTAGGACCCGCTGGCCGGTACTAGGCCAAGTGGAAACGCAACCAAAGACGGGCCGCTGACGTCACAGCCCTCTTAAACCGTGCTCCGCGCTGTAGTGGAAACGCGCCATTACTCATTGGACGTGATGGGCTAAGGGGCGGGACATTTCTAAGCGATTGATCAATCACAACAGAGCCGTCCAGCTAACCAATCAGAGCAGACTGGGCTCTGGTTTCAGACAGAGGGTGAAAAGAGGTGCTGCAGCACATGCAGTATGAGACAAATAAAGACCATGCCACAGTAAGGGCAGAAAATGCAAATATGAACCTGAAAATGAGCAGAATAGGGCCACTTTAATATTGCCATGATATTTTCTTCATCTAAGACGTTATCTAGTGATATATCCGATAACAATCGGCATATTGCCCTGCCCTACATGAACGTAGAAATATGTCATTCTCTGCATTTATCCTTTCAGGGGACGCATGTATGGGCCCAACCTTATCGATGTGCCTGTGAAGCCCTACCTGACACTGCTGTTTGAGGAGGTAAGACGGGTGTCTTTTTTTTTTTTTTTCTCAGATTTATTTTCTTTTTCATGAATAATATCTTACTGAAAATCCAGGTGAAGTATCAAATTGAACCTTCCTTTAATTCTATTTATCTTCTCCTTTAGGTCCTCAACCCATTCTATGTGTTCCAAGTTTTCAGCATCACACTGTGGATGACCGATAAATATTATTATTACGCCACGTGTATATTTCTTATATCGATTTTCTCCATCATTATCTCACTTCGTGAGATCCGCAAGGTGAGCCTGTCGTTGGATAGTTAGTCTGATTCAAATTTTTTATGTGTTTGGGTATGGATTTTAATAATTGAATTGTATGAAACTCCACAGCAAAGCATCACTCTCAATAACATGGCCCGGTTAGTCACTACTGTCACTGTAAGGAGAAGCTCAGGAGGTGAGTTTGTTTTCGCGAATGCATTCTTATAATGTGCATTCTTTATAGTTTCAGGAAATTATACATGTGGATTTGTTAATATTATTATTATATTATATATATTATAATAACAAGAAATACTTTTGGCACAGCCTGCTTTAAAGGAACGAGTGAGAACATGAACAATACCCTTTGCACCACCTTGGTTTCCTGATCAGTTCAGGGGATGGGGAAGAGGTTAATGTTTTTAATTCATAGCTATGAACACATGTAAAATATGTATTTTAATGTATACTGTCCACAGGTTTAGTTTCAGATGGTCGACAATAATAGTTGTCATGTGTTCTACATAAATAGGTGCATCTCTTGAACCACCTGTGTTTCAGTTCCCCATTTCTCACAACTAAGTCTCAGTCTGCCTAAAGTTCAGACAATCAACTGAAGGGTTATCATATTATATATCTCTATATATTTAGCGGCATTAGAGTGGCCCTTTTATCTTGCGTCTTTTAAATGAGTAAGAAACTCGCATAAGAGTTGCACATCAAAGTACAGCGAACACTGGACCTGGCTTTAAAGAGAACCTGTGAACTGTGTGACTATTAAAATCTCTGTCACAATGTTTCTATAAGCTGGTCCACTCTTTTTTGACTAAAAAGCACAGAGAAGAAGAAGATTGTTTTAATAGTAAACATCGATATAAATAATGCAAGATTGAGATTTTTATGGTTTTGCAAGTATTTTTTGAGAAAGGGAGTACACTCAATGTGTTTGTTTACTTAAACAAATGTAAGCTCTGCTGAAGTCCCTTCAGGCAAAACCTAAATGAGATGTTTGAGTGTCCAACTAGCAACAACAATCCTCATTTATGAAAGAAAAACTACTGAAACATCAATTCTCAACTCAACATCTTTTGTGAGTTGAAACTCAGTAACAGTGCATGCAGATAAGAATGTAGGACGGCAAACTGTGGTCTATTAGGGCATACAATGTTAGGAAAGAGGACTTTGTTTTTGTAGGGTGCAGGAAATAAAAAGAGTAGTTTGTTTCAATGAAAAGTTTCTGTAAACAAAATAGCTAATTCAAATTTTGAACAAAGAGAAAGAACCGAAATGTGTGGCTTTTTCTTCTGAATGTAAGCGTATACTAGTCTCCTAATTCCTTGTCAATCTTGACACAGCATTCATTCCTAGTTGTGTGTTTTCTCAGCGGAGGAGTGTGTGAGCTCAGAGGATCTGGTCCCTGGCGACTGTCTCATCGTCCCTCAGGAAGGCCTGCTGCTGCCCTGTGATGCTGCCCTGCTGGCTGGGGAGTGCCTGGTCAACGAGAGCATGCTTACAGGTGATCTTCAAAACCTCAATACAAATGACCTTTTTATGTTGGGTTTAGTTTAAAAAAATATATATATTTAAAGCTGGGTTCATGTCACATGATTAGATCCACAAAACTGCCATTAAAACAGATCATCAACATGACTGAACACCAGTGCTAATTCTTCAAAATAATGAAGAGAATATAACCTTGTGGTATGTGAGGGGAAAAGACTGTGATTTCTTGCCCCTTCAAAATATCAAAAAAGGCGGTAATTGTGAAAAAGCCAGGTTTCAAAACTTTGATTATCATCTCAGCGAAAACTGGAGTGAAACCAAATCATTATCATTTCAGCCTAGAAAAAAAATGACTCCACCTCCCATTTTGTAGTTCAATAAAAACACGGACACCATTTTACAACCCTGCAGTAAGGTACCTGAATGTCATGTTTTTTGTGAGGAGTCACTGTATTGACCTGTTGTCATCCTTCCAGGCGAAAGTGTTCCAGTGCTGAAAACCCCGCTGCCAGCAGGGGAGGGCAGGTTCAGCACGGAAACTGAGCGCAGACACACCCTTTTCTGTGGAACGCAGCTCATTCAAGCCAAAGGTGGGAGGCCTGGGGGCGGCGGTGCTGTTGCCGTGGTCACAAGCACCGGTGAGTAGAGACGCTGAGTACATTTTACTGAGTTATTGACATCTAGTCTTGCTGTAGAGCAGTTTTTCTATAATAAGGTCCCTTTTTTTCCTTTGTCGGGGACGTTGAAATGTAGAACCTTTTGACCCATGAAAGCCCACAGGGCAGTTTGAAAAGGTCATGCTGCTCTCCTGCTTCACCAGTTCTCCTGCTTCTATATCATCCTCAGGGTTTTTCACAGCCAAAGGTTACCTGGTCAGCTCCATTATGTATCCTCAGCCAACAGACTTCCACTTCTACAAAGAAGTCACCAAGGTCCTGCTCATCCTGGGTTTTGTTGGTAACGGCTTTAACAAAGATAACAGATTTTAAGGACAACCATTTTATCTACAGCTGAGCTACTCAGATGATGTATTTAAGTAGCTGAGCTACTCAGATGATTGTGTTTAAGGCCTTTTTTACCTATGATTCAACAATATTGAATAACACTAACAAACTGTTTTGTATGTTGCTTCAGCTTTTCTAGGCACCATATACAGCTTTGTGGTCCTCTTCAAAACAAATGTAAGTGCAAGCCACTCGCCTGTCTTCCTTTGGCATGCCAACAGTAAAGAAAGTGATGTCACTGACTTGTGTGTGGATGTGTCCAGTCGACCTGGCTGGAGCTGTTCATCAGGTGCCTGGATGTTGTGACCATCGCAGTGCCTCCTGCGCTGCCGGCTGCCATCACCACCGGCACCATCTACGCCCAGAGCAGACTGAAGAAACAGGGCATCTTCTGCATCAGTCCCCCCCGCATCAACATCTGCGGCAAGGTCTCCCTCTTCTGCTTCGACAAGGTGAGGGGGAATCCATTACCTAGAGTTTTATGGGGAGAATAGTCACGGCTGCTTGACCTGTTGAAGTCTTCTTTCATCCAACTACGTTTGTTCCTCCAGACAGGAACTCTTACGGAGGAGGGTCTGGATGTGTGGGGGGTGATGGAGGGAGGACCTGCTGGTTTCTCAGAGCTGGTCCCAGATCCTAGACTCCTGCTCCCGGGGCCCATGCTCTCGGGACTGGCATGCTGTCACACTGTGACACTCCTGAGGGGAGAGCCACTCGGAGACCCCCTGGAGCTCAAGATGGTTGAGTCCACCGGTTGGGTATGTCTCTTATTTGAAATGTACTTTAAAGGGTATTTGAAGACTAGAATCGGGTATTGATTTCAGTGATAGTATTGAATAAGCCCATGTCTTGGTACTGATATTAAAGCAATATTTTTTGCTAACGAACAACCTTACTCACAAAACATTCTCAAAGATGTTCAGACAGAGACAATGTTGTTTTTAATGCCATAGTGATGTCAACTTGCACAATAAACGTCGTGCAGTCCTATTTTAAACAGTAATGAAGTGTCTGATCAAAGTATAAGGAAACTATAAAGGCGATAAAAAAAGTGCAAATCTGCTTCAAGGCCAAAAATAACTTTCTTCTAACTTCTGTGTTTATGATATTGGAAACAGTTGGACTTAAAATAATCTCTAAATACATGCCAATATTAACCGTTTATTTAAAATATTCTGTCATCTACACAAAATGGTACAGCATGACCTTTATTTTGTCCATTATTACTTTCAATTGTTAACAGGTATCACAACTATTGTCATTCAAAAAACTCAGAACATTTATCTCACTGTGAACTTCTGCTATAACATGTTGATTTAAATCGGCATGTTCACATCTAATATTTCCAGACCCTTCAGGAGCCGGAGGGAGATGGGAATAAACTGGATACAGAGTTCGGGAGCCACAGAGTTTTGGCTGTTTTGAGACCTCCACAACAGCTCCAAGCTCAAGGAACAGTGAGTGACCGTCTCGTAAAGAATTATCAAAAGGGCTTAAAGGTCTCCTATCATGCAAAATGCACTTTTTAATGTCTTTTATACATAAATATGTGTCCCCGGTTTCTCGGGGAACTCACAAAGTGTAAGAAAACAAAACCCTCTCTCTTTTCCTCCGTACCCAAATCTCTAAAAATGGGGGTACAACGGAGCTGATCCAGATTTGCTGCCGATATGACGTAATATCTGAAATGTGGGCTGACTTTATACCCACGGCCCTATCAGAAACTTTGCTATCAGAAACAATGTGCAACGTGTTTTGGAAGTAATATGGTCTTTGTTTACATTAGCAAGCATCGCTAACACTCAGAGCTAACCTGTACTGGAGAGAGTATGTGTAAAAAAGCAGGAAATAAAAAAGGAACTCACCTTGTAGTAAACCCGCAAGAGAAAAAGCATTTGAGCTCCATACTGTTTCAGAAATAATCCTTGATGTGGTTTAGAACATGATATGGCGTTTCATCACGGCAGCATTTAGCTGTATCTCGGTAGAATTCTGAGCAGGCATTAGCTCACCCCCCCCCCCCCCCCCGACCCAGAACCAGCACTTCTGAAATAGAGGGGTATGAGGCATGGCTAGAATGGGTGATCTGTTTGGTATTTTGAGCAAAACACTTCATAGAAATGTTTTTTTATACATTTCTCTTTTATTTTCTTGTCAGTCCGGTAAAGCGGTGGCCATCGTTCAGAGGTTTCCCTTCTCCTCGGCCCTGCAGAGGATGAGTGTGGTGACGGTGGCCAGCGGCGGACACTCGGCACTCGCTTTCATCAAAGGATCCCCAGAGATGGTGGCTAGCCTCTGCCGGGCAGAAACTGGTAAGTAACTTGTTATCTAAGGTATAATAATATTATTTCTATGTGTGTGTGTGTGTGTATATATATATATATATATATATATATATATATATATATATATATATATATATATATATATATATATATATATATATATATATATATATATATATATATATATATATATATATATATATATATATATATATATATATATCTGAAAGTCTGCATTGGGTCTCAATTGTGCGCCTCTTCTTGCATTATGTTTTCAGTGCCGGCGCAATTCTCCAACAAGCTGCGTAGCTTCTCCACTGAAGGCCTCAGAGTTCTCGCCCTCGCCTATAAACCAGTAGACGTGAACACTGACTTTAGCAAGATTAAAAGGTGAGGTGTGCTTCCCTTGGGCACCAAATTCTACAGGCTAATTTCCTGCTCCTGAAGTTGTAAATCCAGTCTTACTGAAACGCAGCCGTGTCCTCCCACAGAGCAGAGGTTGAGAAAGACATGCAGTTCCTCGGCCTGCTGATGATGAAGAATCTGGTAAAGCCTGAAAGTGCCCCGGTTATTAACATGCTGACGATGGCACAGATCCGAAGCGTCATGGTCACTGGTGAGAGATATTTGGTCTAGGAGTATTATTCTCGCTTTGGGTGGAAGAGGTCCCGGGTCCAGACCCCGGACAAGCCCCCTTTAGTTCAGCCCAGCTCAGACAGACTAGACGATTAACAATAGACATATTTATTTATTATATAACAAAATGTAACTTAACAAACCTAAAACTAATGAGACACTAAGTAATCACTGATGTATGAGGGTGTGAAAATGTGTCAGTAGTCAAAAGTAAAAAGAAAATGATTATTAAAGGGGCCCTATTGTGCTAATTTTCAGGTTCATATTAATATTCTGTGCCTCTACTGTGACAAGTTTCCATGCTTTAATGTTCAAAAAGTTGCAGCACCTCTTTTCACCCTCTGTCTGAAACCAGAGCCCAGTCTGCTCTGATTGGTTAGCTGGCCGGCTCTGTTGTGACTGGTCAACCGCTTAAAGTTGTCCCGCCCTGTACATGTGTTGGAGCACTAGCCACTAAATAACTGGTATATGAGCCTTTTCAGACCATTTTCATGCACAAAAACATAAATAAGGCACTACAGAAAAGGGAAAATCAAGGAAAGCATGAAAGGGCCTCTTAAAATCATCAACTTGGAGGCATCTACTTCAATGCTATCAATGTTATAATGTTGTGTCCTTCTTCACACAGGGGACAACATTTTAACGGCTGTCAATGTAGCAAAAAGCTGTGGGATGGTAGGATTTGGCGAGAAGGTGATATTCGTGAATGCAACCCCCCACACTGCCCAGTCCATGCCCACCCTGAAGTTCAGCCTGGAGGACGGAGGGGACCAAAGCTCGGCAGAGATCATCAATCAGGTGAGACAAAACACATCAAGGCTCTGTCAATCCTGAAGTAGCACACAACCATGGGAGGAGAATCTTTGGCTGCTGTTGATGATGCTTTGCTTTTCTCCCCTTAGGGCCTGTACCAGAGTGGTTTTAACTATCACTTGGCTATTAATGGCAAGTCCTTTGCTGCCCTCTGTGATCACTTCCCTGAGTATTTGCCAAAGGTAATGTATGCTATGTTATCCCAGCATTATTACATGGCTTAGTTGAATACTCGATTCTGATTGGTCAATTCAGAACACGTGACACGTTGTTAATCCAGAACAGACAGACCGCTGTCAAGGACTTATTGACCGTTGTTAAGGACGCTCACATCTGCACAAACAAGTCTGTTCGATTTAACTGTATACAGTTTGGCCGAAAAGCAAACCGTTTGCTTTTCTAACTGACAAGACAAGAGCGACAAGAAAACAGCGGAAAAGTAACGGGGCAGAAACCCTCCTTTTTACGCAGCGGTCCAGACATAGACATCAAACGGCGACACATATTCAGTTGCCAGTTACTTTGGCATTAGGGCAGGGATATCTAGATACTTTCCAAGCTTTGACATAATGAATTGTGCTACTTTTAAAGCAAGCAACGATGTTTTCAAATCTGTAATCAAAAAGCTCCTCAAAAACGCTATCGAAGCAGTTCCTGACGTTGCTACGTTAGTTCAAACAGTAACAACGGACTATTTTTGTTAGCGGATGCATGTCAATTTAAATCAATACATACAACTATTTTTTAAATCAATAAAATCATTTTCTTAATCCATAAAAGCATTTCAATTAATATTGGAAGTCATATCGTTACTTTGTTGAGAATGTAGCCTTGTAATAAGCGGGATAATGTGCAGCGACGCGGTTTCGCGTCGGGCTCCTGATCAGCCTGTCGGTGTTCTTTTCCCCATAATGACCGCGTCGCTGCACATTATCCCTTACATAACATTCTGACAATCAGAATGTATTTCAAGCAGCATCTTTCTTTGATGATGATGGCTGAATGAAGATGTTCTTGATTCTTTGTCAACTATCGACATGCTGTCACTGCAGGTTTTGCTGCATGCCACAGTTTTTGCACGCATGGCTCCCGACCAGAAAACCCAGCTGGTGAAAGAGCTGCAGAAAATCAAGTGAGTACAGACACCAAAGGAGAAGGCTTGCGAACACACAAGAAGAACTGAAAGAAAATCAAAGAGAGGGAATATATATATATATATATATATAGAGGAACAGAGAATTGGCTATTAGGGGAAATCAAACTCTCATTAACCTTCAGACAACCCTTACTAGTGATATGGAAAAAGAATATTGATAAATACAAGGCATGACATCCCTATTTTAAGTCAGAAGTACGGTATGTTAAGGTATTTTAGTTACATAATTTCTATGCTGTGTGACTATCAAGTTGTGTTTACAAATGATCAAGTTGTGTTTACAAATGCAACCAAAAGGAACATTACAAAAAATACATTTCTGGAGAAAGGTGGAATAATTTCTCAGCTGTTGCTGTATAGAGAGGCGAAGTCGCGCCCTTCTACTTCCACCCCATGGGACCTTATTTCGGAAAAATTATGTATTGAAGTCAATGGGGAGAGAAAGATTATCTTTCAATCCCGTTTGAATTGTGCCACGAATTAAACATATGATGTTTGTCAATCTTAAAAAAATAATTTCCATGTAAAAAAAGTCACAGTTTGTCGTAAAACTGTTGAAATATAAGACTATGAAAAATACGCAACTAGAAAGACTACAAATCCCAGAGTCGCGTAAGTGATGTCATTAACGTTACACTCGTGTTACTCACCGAAACCTTGTAAAGCCGGTCCCACATGCTGGCTCTTACGGAACCGACTAACTCTGTATGTACAGCTCTCAACATGCCCAGACTTGTAGTGATTTTCACCTCTTTTAATACTTTTCGCCTCATTCTGAAAGAAAGAGGTGAAATGTGCCAACGTGACGGCCGTCTTGGTGTTGGTGACGTGTACGAGACCAGAGATGTAGGTTGCGGTCGGATAATCCAAAAATCAGCTCCTAACGTCAAATCCTATCATCTATTCCTTGACCTCTGAGTGAAACGTCACGGGGTTAAGCGATAGTGGATAGGAGAATTCAAAAGGATTTAGGAGAAGAGACTGCGGTACTTTAGAGAACCCGACTGCACTTTCACTATCCGACGTGTTTATGATGCGCCAGCGGACGTCATGAATGTGCGTCTGCTGCTGTGGGGAAACTATGGAAACTACAGTTTTCTATACAGCGGACTACAACATGGATGTTTAATAAGAACGAGGGACTACTGTAAACTCATCTAGAGACTCTGCACCGTGCTCTGATGCTGTTGTTTTATGCTTTATGAACGGGAACAACAGAGAAACATATTCTTCATGACCAAAGTTGGAATTGAAATAAAAAAGGAAAGTGAAACTTATGCTCGTCACCCTCTCCCTCCGGTCCACATTAATACAAATGATCCCAATACGTATGATTGTATGAACTATGAAAAGATCTTAAAATCAATACAAATGTATATATTATAAACGTTAGTCCTTAACATCTATCACTGTGTATATCACCATTCAAACATCTTTTAAAAGTTGAACAAACCCCACACAGCTTAGTAAAGACTGAAATGTTGACTTTATTTGATCATTTCAGTAAAAACTAACGTTCATATTTCTCTTTTTGATTATAATACTGATGAACGTTCAAAACAAAGCACTTTGGCAACTTACCACATACGTTTTAAAATGCTTAATAAGCACCGTAACTTTCATGATATCATTTCTCGTTCATAATCGGTTGTTTCCGTGAACGGCCGACTGTTGTGTGACTGCAAATGCTGCGGCTGCAAGGCATTGTGGGGCAGCATTTTCTCCTCTCCTTTCGTAAAGGGAGGTCCAGTGGTTCCTAAGCTAAAGGAGGCTATAAAGGAAGTTTGAAACCTCCATAATAACATTATTTATTGTCAGCCACAGCTACATGTACAAAGGGCTCTCTCTCTCTCTCTCTCTCTCTCTCTCTCTCTCTCTCTCTCTCTCTCTCTCTCTCTCTCTCTCGCTCTCTCGCTCTCTCGCTCTCTCTCTCTCTCTCTCTCTCTCTCTCTCTCTCTCTCTCTCTCTCTCTCTCTCTCTCATCCGCTTGTGCTCGGTTGATGACTGTCCTCCTCCTCATTCACTTGTTCACTTTCGCTGGTAATATTCTCCTCTGTACCTCTCTCACAACATCATTCAGCTTTCTTTAGCTTGCTTGCAACGTTCGCTAATCGTTCGCGGGTAGTATGGTCGTCATTAGCAACGCCAGAAAAAAAGAAGACATTTTTCGTTTCTAAATCTAAAAACAACAATAGCCTATTAGAACTTATTTAAACCACAGTTTCAATTATCTCAAGCTTATTTTCATTCGTTGTAGTATTTTGATAGTATGATTTATTTTTTAATTAATGTTATTCAATCAAGCCTCAAACTGATGGCACTTGTCCCTATAGCCTGTTTTAAATTGAAGTTGTCTGAGGTCCTTACCACCAGCTGCTCTTGCAGTAATAAGTAGTGTACCTTACTGTCCCAAATGTGCACAATGTAGTGACTGCTTTTCGTCTTTTTGTTTACTCCGTTGTGTTCTCTGTATTTTATATGTCTGTGTTATGTGTAAGAACGTGTAATGTTGCTGCCTTCTTGGCCAGGTCAGCATTGTAAATGAGATTTTGTCTCAATGTTTTCATCTGGTTAAATACAATGTAAAAAAAATGTTTTACTTTTTTTTTTTTTTAATGTGTCAGATTCCTTCGCGTACCACTGGGGAGCTGGGGAGCTACCACAGGTTGAGAACCACTGATCTAGAGAATTCGAACAGCACTTATCATGGCTGCCACTGAGGGACTTCCGGGTCATTTCACTCCGTTAGGAAGGTTCCTAAGCTAAATGGACTATTCAACTTCAGCCTTAGTTCATTGAGCGGTTCACACAAAAAAATGTGTTACTTCACAGTTTTACGACACATTTTAATTTTTTTGACTTGCAAAATTATCTTTTAAATTGACAAACATGTATATGTTTAATTCGTGGCACAATTCAAACGGGATCGAAAGACAACGTTTCTCTCTCCATTGACTTCAATACATAATTTTTCCGAAATAAGGTCCCATGGAGGTCCACCGGAAAGGGAGGGACTTCGCCTCTCTTTTAAAAACTGACATCTAGTGGCCATTAGAGGAACTGCTGTACTCTTAGAGCACCACGTTTACTTTTGTTTAATCAAAACTTTGTTAGCCAACAGATTTGATTTAAAGATAGTTTCATGATTAATGTTTAATTACAGTAATGAAGTAAATAAAACCCACTTCTGTTAATACAGCTACCGGACGGGCATGTGTGGGGACGGGGCCAATGACTGCGGGGCCCTGAGAGCTGCTGACGTCGGGGTTTCCCTGTCTGAAGCTGAGGCTTCAGTTGCGTCACCTTTCACTTCCAAGACCTCAAACATCAGCTGTGTGCCGCTGCTCATCAGGTGAGGACTGGGAGGCACTGGGTTAGAAATAGAGGGAAGACGTTGATGGTGTTTGTGGTACAGTGTCTGCTGAGGAAGAAATAATAACATATATTTTCTCCCCGTCTGTGCAGAGAGGGCCGATGTTCTCTCGTCACCTCCTTCAGTCTCTTCAGATACATGGCTCTGTACAGCCTCGTCCAGTTCTGCTCCGTCCTCATTCTCTACACAGTGAGCAGCACCCGAGCTCCTCACACCCCCACTTTCAAAACGGGCGTACTTTTGCTGCCTTTGATTTTCAGTTTTGTCCAGTCAACATCTATGTTTAAAAAGTCATCATAATACATTTAAATTCATTTTGTTCCATTATGGGCCTCTTATTTTTGAATACCCCTTTTTCTAAAGCCAGTATGTGATGGTAGAAAACAGCCTACCATGTGCACAATGTCATATTAGCTTAATCATAGACATTTTCAGCTCTGGCTAGCTAACTTGAAACATATTTAGTCTTTCATAACATCCTTATTCCATTATTTAATATTTGTCAGAAATGGGAAAAAGGTCATATTCCTGCTAATGTTAACAACATTTCTGTATGTTTGAAATTATATTGTGAGTTTGATTTTTGAACTGATCCAAACCGTCTGTTTGCACCTCTATCAGCCAACAAGCCATACTTCAACACTAAATGCTGACAGTAAAGCCCTGATGTCTGTGGCACCCAGTCTGACGAGCATTGAAACACACAGTTGCCGAATTGTTTTTACAACTTACAATGAAACATGTGAGTTCTTGATGTGTGTGTCCAGGTGAGGACAAACTTTTCGGACTGGCAGTTCCTGTTCTTTGACATGTTTGTGGTGACTGCGCTGGCCATCTTTATGGGGAACGCAGGCCCGTCGAAGGAGCTGCAGGCCTGCAGACCCTCAGCCAGTCTGCTGACCCTGCCCATCCTGGGCAGCCTCTTCATCCACACCTGCATGATCATTCTGGGCCAGCTGGCTGCATTCTTCATCACCACCAAAGAGGACTGGTCAGTGACAAGACACAGGGCTGCTAAGAGATTCTATTCACAATATCGTTAAATATTGTATTTGTTTCTAAAGCCACTACAAACACCATCCCATATCTCACAGTGTAGAGACATTGTAAAACCTCACCCCCCTTTCTTTTTTCTTTAGGTACGTTCCACTCAATTCAACAGTGCCCGGTGCAAATAATCTTCCCAACATGGAGAACACCAGTGTGTTTGCCTTGTCAGGTTTCCAGTACATCATCATGGCTGTGGTGGTCACCAAGGGCTTCCCTCACAGGAAACCTATCTACAACAATAGTGAGTCAGCACTCATGTCAACGGATGATGAATACAGTCCCATGCTGACATATTGGTCAGCTTTATTAAAAATAATAAAATGTAGTCAAATTGAACTGAGAACTGAATTGGTTTTCCAGGGATTTTCCTCTGTCTACTGTTGGTGCTGTTTGCCCTGATGACTTGGCTGGTGTTGTATCCTGGAGCTTACGTGTGTGGAAAACTTCAACTGTACGACTTCGTTGATATGGATTTTAAAATGCTGCTCGTCGCCGTGGCTGCACTCAACTTCCTCATTTGTTTTGTTGTGGAGGTGAGTGATCAAATTACACCTTGACATTACCTAATAGGATGATTGCTAATTTTCAGTTGAAATAAAAAGATATCTAGCTCAGATGAGATGCAGGACAGTCTGTGGATATATCTTATCCTGGGTTTTATGATGGCTGACCCAAATGTTTATTGTTTACTCCAACCAAATCTTTCTTTGTAGTCACCCTACTGGCAGGAAAGATGGGTATTAAAAAAAGGAAGTGCCTCTTTACTTCAGGAAAGATATGCATCTAGAAAGACTGAAATGTAAGATTTTAAAAGCAAAACACATAATTGTGGCTCCCACACATTGTATGCAGAACATCTCTTAGCTGTTAACCAATCACAACAGAACCGGTCAGCTAACCAATCAGAGCAGACTGGGCGAAAGAGGTTGAAAAGAGGTGCTGCAGTATGACAATAACAAGGCACTTCTTTAACATTAAAGCATGGAGACATGTCACATTAGAAGCACAAAATAGATTTATAAAACCAGAACATTAGCATAATAGGGCCCTTTTAATTCTAAATGATAAACACTCCAAATGTCTCTCTAAGCGTGGTATATTCCTAAACCTTTGTTAACTGGAAAGTTGCTGTTTCCTCCCCAGTTGCTGATAGACGGAGGGATCCTGAACTGTCTCCGGTTGCTGTGCGGGGCGCGAGAGTCCAAGAAACGGTACAAACGCCTGAAGCTGCTTCTGTCTGAATCCCCATCATGGCCGCCCCTCAATCAAACCCTGTCCCCCACAGATAACATAGTCATTGACTTTAGCTGACGTCCGCTCAACCAGTCACCCAGTCACCCAAGCCAAAAAGTGCAACTTGTTTAACAATGCAAACTTGTGTTTACTTCTGTTATTAAAACATGTTTTTTCATGTTCCAGCCTGACATACACATATGAATTATATTTTGGGGATTTTAACTCATTAAATGCCAGTTTGCTGAAAAAACTCCACTGTTTCTTAATTGAAAAAAACAAAAAACTAGAATAATTTTCAAAAAATACATTTCAAGGAATATTTGATTATTGTTATTATTAGGTCCCTAGATGGGTCAATGATTGGCAGCAACATTGATTTGAATGCATTGTTATTTTTTTTGCAGTATCAGATTTAAACAAAAACTCACACTCGTGTTCCTAAGGCCAAAAAATGCCACCTTCACAAAAACTGCTATAAAAATATGATATATTCATATATTTTCCCACTTTAAAAGAGTAAATCTTTTAAAACTACTCCAGCCTGACATACACATATGAAATATGAATTATATTTTGGGGAATTTAACCCTTTAAATGCCAGTTTGCTGAAAAAACTCCACTGTTTCTTTATTGAAAAAAACTAAAACTAGAATAATTTCCATAAAATACATTTCAAGGAGTATTTAATTAGCAGTATTATTATTAGACCCTGATATAGGTCAAGGATTGGCAGCAACATTGATTTTGATGCATCATTATTTTTTCTGCAGTGTCAGATTAAAGTTTAAAATCTTAGCCTATAATGATGTATGATGATTTTCACTAGGCAGTCTCCTACCACAAGTAAAAGGTTTTTTTCCCCACTAAATGCCTATTACCCTGTTGTGTGCTAAAATGAATAATACAAGATAATTTTGAACCAGAAAAACATATATTTTACAAAGATGAACATTGAATGATGAACACTGTGTGTCTGGCTGTGAGAGCACAGCTCAGGTCGAGCAGGGGCTGCAAATGGACAGACTGTGGTCCTTGCATGTTAAGTTCCCACATTTGCAGCAGGTGCTGCAAACTCTTCTGTCCTTGCAAAAGTGGCACTGCCTCCTGCTCTTCCGTTCACTGATGAGAGAGGGGCCTGCAGCAGCACCCTGCAGATCTGACACTATTGTTGCAGCGGCTGATGAGCGGGGAATGCGCCCTCTCTTCTTGATGTGTGGGGTCACCAGCATTTCTCCCACCTCTTCAATGAAGAGCCTCTTCCTGTACGGTTTCTGCTGCTGCCAGGATGGCTCGATTGATGTCCACAGGACATAGGCGTTGTAATGGGAAATGTCAACCAGGTTGTGGAAGAGGGCAAGTGGCCAGCGATTTGCTCTCCTCCTGCAGGAGTAGGTGGCAACAACCTAACAAAAACATAAAACAAGACAATTTGAATAAATTATTCCAAGCATTTTCTCTCATGATGCAAATATTATTTATTTTATAGGAAAATGCTAATTTGAAGTAACTAATGGCACCTACCTTATCAAGGTTGTCGACACCTCCTTTGCATCGGTTGTAGTCTTTGATTATGACTGGCTTTCTCTTCGTTTCGTCGCTTACGTCTGGACTGCGGTGTTTCGTGCTTAGAAGCAGCACATTCCTGCCCCGTCGAGGGATGTAGAGACCAGTGTGTGGGTCTTGGTAAAGGCAAAGGTGGAGGAGAGGACCGCTCTCGCTCTTGCCTGGAGCAAATTGGGGGGAAGCTCAGGCTTGTTTCGGCGAATTGTGCCAACCAGGGCCAGTTTTCTCCTGAGCAGCTCCTCAGCCAGTGCGAAGGACGTGAACAATTTTTCACAGGTAATGATGTGTCCCTGGAGCCCCTCTGTCATCTCCAGGACCACCCTCATCCCCTGGTTGACTTCAGAAGGACTGCCAGCTGCTTTGCCTGTATACACCTGCAGTCTCCAGGCGTAGGATGATTTTACATCACAGTTTACCCAAATCTTTATACCGTATTTGGCCGGCTTTTTTGGCATGTACTGCTTAAAGCTGCACCTGCCTCTGAATGGGACGAGCTGTTCATCCTGATTCGGGCGACAGCATAGTGTGTTGGTCCCGGGATCAAACTTCTGGCTGCTGGGATGTAGCGGAGCGTCTCAGTGTTTGTGGGAGACCAAAACACTTTTCCATTTTTTGAAGTCCAGCTGCTTCCTCCATCTCCCCTCCGCTCTCAGCTTCAGATGAGTCTGAGTTGGACTCTAGCTGGTCTGTTCCCACCTCTGAGGCGTCCTCCGTGGACTCTGAGGCCTCTTCTGTGTCAGCCTCAGAGTCCACGGAGGAGGATGAGGAGCCATTCTCGCAATCAGAGTGCATGATAATCTCCAGAGCCTCCTGTGTGCTGTAATGCCTTGCCATCTCCAAAAAGACTACTCCTGCACTAATACTAATACTTATAACCATGGCTGCAGTGCACCTGTATAAACAACCTGAACAAGAACCAAAACAAAGTCCAATTTTGATTTGGTTCTCGCAACTCATTGTTTTTATTATTGAATTCGATTATTACGCAGTGTGGCCTTCTAAGATAAAAGTATTTTGAAGTTGGACACACACACACATACCATTATCCAACATCAAAAGCCACACACACATATGTCAGTAGCAAGTCAGCCTTGCAGAAAACAGTAAAAAGTGACATTTTGCTGCAGGCTTCAAAGGGTTAAAATTATCGCCATCTTGTAGACAAATGTAAAAAAAAAATTGAAAGCTAGAAGTCCAAAATGAAATCTTAAAGGAAATCAAGAGTTTCTGATAAGATAAATGTGGGGTAAAAAAAAGCGTTTTCAATGGGGCATTTTTTGCCGCTAGGAACAAATGTGTCTGTTTTTGTGTAGCTTAGCCATTTTAGGCTAATTTAAGGAACTGAGACGACAATTCAAAATACAACTAAAAAAGAATATCCTCTGGCAAGTTTGAGCAATATTCATTCAACACAGCCAAAATGGCATGAACATCAAAACCCGAATGGCTGAAAAATGGCCCCAGGAACTTTTAAGGGTGTGGTCCTGGGGTTAAAGAACCATATAACCCTGGTGGGTTTGCATGTTTTTAGCTAATTAAAGGGTCAGCCAAATTACAGAATTTTTTTTTTTTTGGGGTGGATTTGTTTAGGTGTTGATGTATTCCCCCCTCTCCAATACAGTAGAGATTAATGGAATTATATGTATAGGGCTCAATGCTCTGAAAATGTACACTTAACATTTCCAACAGCCACACCTAACAATACTTTTGTTACTTCAGATTATCCAAAACACTGACTATGTGATGAGTGTTAATGTTCCTATTGAGTTCAAATGCACATATGAGCCTCTTTGGACAAGAGCAACTGCCTGCCAATTAAATGTAAAGCAATGAACATGCCAAACAAAATAAAAACATTTTTTGCAAATCATTTTTATTAAATCATTATTTACAGGCAGTTTGTGTTCTCACTCAGCTAAACCCATCAGTCTCCTGCTCTGCTGCTTTACTTCCTGAACTAAAATCTCTCAACAGTATCATAAATTCTCCCTCGGATATATTCAGTTGAACTACAGCAACGAAAATCAACCACCAGGAAGTAAAGGTGTGATACAGGAGGCACAAGCTGAATTCAACCTTTATAATAAACTTTTGTATTCATGATGTGCACCACTGAATATGGCTTTTATTGAGATCTCTTCTCTGTTTGAACAAATAAAGAACATCTATAGGGCACAATAGTCCTGCTCATACAGGAATTCTCTGGTTTACATACAGCTGTGTCTCCATTTAATCAGAGGACCATCAGTGACTGAGCATTCACACGTGCTGATTTTACCATTTCAGACAAAAACAAATTAACTGCCATTCATTCAACTTGGGACATGGACATCGTTTCATTTCACTGTATAGCACATTATTTTAACAACCCGAGCTTTAATACGGACATTTTGCTGTTTGAGCCGTCGGACCCGCTGGAAAAATACAATCTTAGTTCATTTCATTCATTCAGTCTCGTTCACTTGCACCCGAGTTCCTGCATACTGTGCATCAGCGAGGGACAAGATTAAACGAGCACCGCCGCTGACGAGGTGGAGATAGGACGGAGAGGCTTGATGTACAGCAGTAAATGCATTCCCCGATCCAACCTTTCCTGGAGATGCTGCCAACGCCACCTTCGAATAATGACATCTGAATAAACTCATATACATTTACAGGTGGATTGTTTTTAAATGGGATTTTGGTTCATTTCGATTAAAATACTGACATTGCTACCATCTTGTAAAAAAAAGGCAGAAAAGCTACTTAAAAACAGACAAACCCCCAATTTCCTTTCCATTCATCTTCTTTTTTTGTTTTTACTTTTAAATAGAAATAATGCTGTGACAGTCGAGGGAAGACAGCTGAAAAGCTTAATTTAAAAAACTAACAAAAGACAAACCGTAAACAGAACCGGTCAGATATACAACCCGACACGTGACCCTTACCCTCAGTGTTTAAAAACAAATGGCAATTTATATATTAGGGGTGCACTGATAATGCTAACAGCTCAGGTACCAGTGAAGTAGTCTGCTTCAGTGGTGAGTTCACTGTCTGCAGGACATCTGACACCCCAAGCTGTAGCCTTTGGGGCCTCTGTTTGAAAGACAAACCAAAACTCAGACTATTTCACCAATGGTGAAAACATTTGACCGTTTCCTATTCTATAAATACTGCAGGATTATAATAAAGTGAATCTCAATATTGATTGTTTAATCCCAAGTTTTAATGGTGTATGTCTGTAGATATCAAAGCATCCCTAGTATAGATAATTAAAGACGAGCAAAAAAAAAAGATTCAAATTAAAAACATGTTTGTAAAAAGGTGTGAGAAGTGATGACTGGTATTATTACTGGGGAAAAGCTGCTGCCCGAATACCAGCTCATCTCATTTTGCTATGGCCCGTCACCTCTCATGCTCTCTGCCCTTCTATGTTTAAAGTCTTCGCTTCTGCCTTGTGGGCGTCCTGAGATGGAGCCGCTGAAGGAGTAGAGAGATGGAGGCGAGGGGCGTCTCTTAAAGGATCATCACAGTGAGTCCAGAATAAGTCCATAATCACAGTGTCAAACAGACTCGGGTGAGGGGAGAAGAGAGCACATTTCCAATCCACTTCCTCCTGTGGTTCCTCGCAGCCCATCCGATATAATGGAGCTGAAGGAAGGCAGTTTGAAGAATAAAGCGCTGTCTTTGCTCTGGTGGCTCCTGGTCTCTCTCCCCTCAGCTGTTGGGTGGCCGCAGAGCTTTCTTATCGGTGCTGCCGGAACCCTTGGGTGCCGTCTGGGCTGACTGGCTGCCGGACAGTGTGATTGTTTGATCGGGTGTCCTCTGAAGGCAGTGTAGAGTTATTGCGCCCGGCCCTGGCAGAGAAAGAGGAATCGGAATGAATAAATGACAGCGGCATTTCCCACATGCCAGCTGCTGGACAGTTGTGCTACAAAACTGCTTCAATCAAAAATATGGCACAGTTGTTTTTTGTCATAAAAACATTTTAAATAATCAACAACAAAAGATGTTATTACTGAAATCAAGGTGGATGGATGGATGGACTCTAAAATAACACCTTTTCATGAACTGCCTGTTAACAAAACAGTAAAGCAAACAAGTCTTTAGCATAAAGATACTGTTAAAAGGTTTGTGGAATATTACTTGTCAGAGTTGGGTTTGTCCTGAGGCGTCTCCTCTGGGCAGGCGCTGCCCAGTATTCTCTTCCTGGCCTCGGCGTACTCTGCCTCGCGCTGGGCCAGAGACTTGACCTGTGGGGTAGGCCGGTTCTGATTCGAGGGCGATCCGAACGACCCGTTACTCGTAGGCCGCTTCAAAATGCGTATCTGAGGAGGGGGGGCTGCTGGGAGGGAGTCGTCCTGTATCACCATGGTTGTTTTCAGCGGAGATCGCAAAGAGTTATTACTGGTCTCCCTGGAAGCAGACACAGGACACCCACATTAATGATACGAGACACAGGAAGAAGACATGAAGAGAGAAGGCAGGGCCAGCTGATAATAGCTTAGACGCTACATGCATGAACAAAAGCCTTTAAGTTAGAAATTGTAATTACTGATTGCGTTTTGCCCTGTATTATAACAATTTCTGAAGAGTGGCTCTTGATAATCAGTAAAACTTTTGAAGTTATGTTAAGACGAGTACAGAGAAACTGGATAGTTTTGATTGTAAATCAAAGCAATCATTTTTAAAATTCACATATTTGAGCCATGTTTCTTATACTTGCTAAGGCCTTACTTTTCTTTCTGGCTGATCCTTAGCTTCTCTTCTAACCGTTTTTCCATTTCCTGTGGGGACAAAACAGTACACACATGTATTCATGAAAACAAACAACATGGTCCAACTAATTTGAGGGTAGAAGTGAAAAGTGAGGCAGGTAGTGAGCAAGTCAGTGAGTGGATGGAAAGCAAGATTACGTTACAAGCTATTTATACATGTAAGCATTGCTCCCAAGTCATAACAGAACGTGAACTAGCTGACATTATCCCGCCTGATGTTGGCAGTAAGAAAAATATGAATTTAGGGTTTGATTAGGTGCATTATATACTGTAAAGAAAACACATAGCGATGAAGTTTGAAAGCTGTTTAATTTGATGTGCTGCTGGCTTCTTCTTAGAGCCACGTTCTTGACGTCACGAGCTATCGACAGTCTGCCAAACTAGACAAAAGCTAATTTTAGCGACATGTTACCAACCTGCCAGTTTGGCGACATAACTAGCTCGTCCTGGGCCAATACTTAACAACATGGCTGAAATATTATCCCACAACAACGTGGCCTTGTTAAACCACCAAACGAGTTAGTCAATCTAAGGTTTAAGTATGTTATTGATAGTGTGCTATAAAACTGCTACATTAACGTTTTGTACACATTTAAATAATCTGTTAGTCAACCGGCCTTGCTAAAAACACATATTCTCACTTTGACAGTAACGTTTCGAACAACCTAAATGATTTACAACGCTGCGAGTCGTCGTCCACAGAATGGTACTCGTTACTGAGAGGAATCAGTGTTAGGCTTATTAGTAATACATGTGTTGTCACATTAAATATGAGACAATAGTGTGTCGCGGACGGGTCTTGAGCTAGGTGTGTTCATTTTCCAATGAGTAAACCAATATTCAATCAACACATTTCTCATGTTAGCCATGCAATACATAGCAAGCTTAGCATTAGCCGACGTCAACCAAGGCATTTCAACAGAAACTCTAGTTATGTTGCGCTTCGTGTAACTATATAGGTTAGCTCGTCGCCGTTAGCCAATTATCAGGCATATAGAAGTACTTTCATAAGAAATTGTTTTACTAGCGAGCGTCACTTAGCTAGTTAGTTGGCTAAGTCTAAGTTAAGCCTGCCTCGCTCGCTAGCTACTTGACGTTAGCTCGCCAAGTTTCTTAAAGCTAACGCTAGCATTAGCCACATTGTTAGCCCGTGGGAGTCGTTCACATAAAACACCGTTATGGGAACTTTTAAAAGCAAATCTGTGAATATAAAGACGCAAAAAAAACGATTTTCGCATATCGGTGAAGGTATGTCAAGCCATTCATTATTTACCCCACTATCAGCAGCTTCCTCCCAACTTTCGTCGACCTCATCCATGTTTCATTTTGCTAAGACACGCTGTGGAGCTGGCCGTCCTGCGCTCCTCAGACCCGCCTCTCCACCGGCCCGCTTTGACATCACACTGACGGGTTTCCCCTGCGCATGATACCCCTCTATACAGGCAGGAGTGGGCGAGAAATGTCTCAGAGAACATACGTTTTTAAGAAAGTGAACTGTGCGAAGAACTTTTGCCTTCTCTTTTTCTTCCCTCATTTTGAATGTCAATCATTTAAACGCTTCAACTTGAATTAGTTACATACAAATGTAATGTAGCAGTTTGTTATAATCTTCTTCTAAACAATTCATTTTTATCAACTTTTTTTTTTTGTGACACACATAACAAGCAGAGGCATTTTTATTTTAGGAAATTATCATGAACCTCCTGAATTTCATTAAAACAAAATTGAATAACATTATGGAAAATATGCTGTACTGTGCTATTCACTAACATTTCCTGCCAATGCTCATACGAAAATCCAACTCTTTTATAGTTCAATACAAAACAGCTCTTCCTTTATGATTTTGTGACTGTTAATTTCCTTTTAAAATATAACTATTTCCAAGAAAAAGACAGTTTTATATTTGTGGTCGGTTGTTTTATCAGCACTAAAAAGATAATTAAAAAAAATGTTGATCATGTAAAATCCGTGTATCTACCGTCCAATTGTTTTTCTTTATTAAACACGTAAACGGAAGAGCGTCTGAGACGTTTTTGCTTTTTGCTTTTTACCTTACTAAATGGTCTAATGGTCGTTGGAGCGAGGGGCGGGGCGAAACTCACGGAAGTGATTTCAAAACAAAAGCACTCGTGTGCTTGGAACGGTGATAATATTATAAACAAAGGGAAACAAGGTTAATTTAGCGATCACAACGAAAACGGCCAAGACACATATTGAGCCCAGAAAACTAATGTTATTAAGGGCTGTAAATATAATAAGCCTATGTCTAAAATGGACAACATTGTTAGGAGATTTAAACTATACAGCGATTCTGCAATGCGGTCACTCAGCCGCCTCTCGCGTTTGTTTTTTCAATTCAGCTGCTCTTCATTTTTTGTCCTGCAATATTTGATGATCGATACAAATATTTGTTATCATAAGTTCTTAATAAAACTGACACTGTTGGACTCGGTACTAGTTTGACTGCTACCAGAAATAAAATCAGTACTAGTGAAACTACTCCCACAAGTACTATGAAGTACTTTTACTATATGTACTTTTCCAGTCATCCTCTGTCAATGTCCCCTCCTGAGTACAAGAATGCATGTTTTTCTGCTATTTTTAATAAGCATTAAAAAACCTTTCTTCCTGAGACTGATATTATTGGACAGAGTACTTTAAGAGGATATGGTGGACATATTATCAGCAATACTTCGAGTCAGTACTCCGGCAGCAGCATTTTTACACCTTGAAAAGTCTTTAGAGACTGGCCTGGATAGCTGGTCACAAATATCCTTCAGCAAAGTGACACACTCTGTGACTCTGGTTGGCCTCTTATGATGTTGCTGTCTTTTAATATATAATTATTTCTCTGCCGCTAGTTCGTTCCTCGCAGATTCTTCAGTCTCATCAGCCTCATCCTTCCATCAGTCCCAGTCAACGCATCAGCCTCCAGCACACTTCCAGTGTCTGACTCCATATGATATTGTCCTGATGCTGTAAGGGTGATGCCCCATGATCACAAAATGACCCCTCTATAGTCTGACTGCCAAGGACCTCATATTATGTCTGTCATTAATGTTACATCACCCATTATAACAATTTTCTTTCCTTTTTTTCTCTTCTCTTAACTGAATAGTCCTGTCTTTAAGTATAACCCAATGTAAAGTATTTTCCTGCACCATTTGAAGGCTTCAAAACAGGCATTTTTACTGTATGTGTTTGGAGAAATTACACAATCAATGGCCCAGAATTGTACTTTATAAACTATGAATCTTGTGGTGCTTGAAGAAATACAGACTGGCTAAGCCGGCCAGGTTATATATATATATATGCCTTTTTTGGAGCCCTTTTTTTTCCAATATTTATTAAAATGTCACTAGTTTTTTAAACAAACCACTATCTGAGGATAATACAAGCAACCATAAAACGCCCTTTATCTAGAGAGCCATTGAAGCCCATGAAGAATGTATCCTTCCACAAATCTTTTCATCTGCTGTATTAATAAGGTTGCCACGTGTTTTCAAATTCAAGTTAAGGCACTATCTGTGCAGAACATTACAAATATTCTTCATTTGCAGTATTTTATTTTAAAAGTGTTCAGAAAGACTGCATCAATGATATGCTATATATCTATCTATATAATATATCAATATTGTTAACTTCAACCAAAGTCAATTTAAATAGTGGGCAAAAATGGGTTAAATGCCATGCATGTGGTGTTTGATATAGTTTACGTTGAATTTCAACTACTTCAGGCAGAAAAATGTATATATTGACTAAAACTTTTTTTACAATTTACTATAATTTAGAAAGGTTTTTGTGAGAAATAATTTCAAAGTAAACTTTTTTTTAATTTTAAAATTAAATCTGAAATGTTGGCAGTGCACACAACATTATTAATTTATAAAAAAAAATTAAATTATGAATCCATTTATTTTATTGTGTTTCCTTGAGGCTGGGGAAGATATCCAGCAGTTCAACATGCAAATGTTCTAATACAAGTAAGTATAAGTATAACATGGAGAAGGAAATAAAATATACGTTTCATAGGAGGATGTGGATTTCTTTTCTCTCACCTTGTAATTACACAATCAAACAATCTATAATTTAGCTCTGGCCTTCACTCACAAAAAATGTGTGTAATTGTGTAAAAAAATTGTGTAATGTGTAAGACACATTTTTTTAATCTCTATTGACTGACATGCAATGACTGGGACTGATGGAAGAATCTGAGAGGAATGAACTAGGAGTAGAGAAATAGTCCTATTTAAAACCTCTCCTGTGACAAAATGGCATCCAATGTAATAAAAAAAGTCAATCAAAGAACTAGATTCCTATACCGGATCTCCTCTCTGGTAACAAAAACACCCTGAAAACTCTGGCAGGAGCACTCATTCAAGGGTACTATGACTATGCTTGCACGTCATGGTACCATAGCACCTCCAAGGCGCTAAAAATAAACTTCAAACATCGCAAAATAAACTGGTCAGACTACTGCTTGACCTTTCATCTAGAACCCACCTCACCTCTGCCCACTTTGACAACCTAGGATGGCTTAGAGTAGACGACAGAGTACAGCTACTTGCAATGGGCCTGGTCTACAAGATCCACTACACCTCTATGGTACCCATGTACATGTCAAAATTCTTCCCAAAGGTCAAGGAATACCATGATCATAACACCAGAGGGAGCTCCACAAATCATGTAAAACCCAGATTTGGCACAAAAAAAGGGGAATACACGTTTCGCAATTATGCCACATCAAGGTGGAACGCTCTTCCCACAACTGTAAAGGAAAGTAAAACTATACTTACCTTCAAAACCTCTCTTAAAGAGCACCTTCGGGGGAAAGCATTGCAAAACTGGCCCCGGTAATGGTACAAATCTCATACCTGTCGTACAATGGACAGCTTCCCCCCCCATCTATGTATATACTCGCATTTTAGACTCTGTTACTAACTGTATATCTGTAGACTTGGTATGTCTTAAATGTCCGGTTAGGATGTATTAGAACGAAATCTAAAATGAAAATTGTAAATAAGCCATCTGTATGTAAAAAACCACCTGTATGTAAATTGTAAATAAGCCATCTGTATGTCAAATATGTCTTATATGTCTTAAATGATATGATGAATTGGAAATGGGGGACCCTGATGTAAACAAGACGAAAGTCTTTCTCTGGTCTGCATCCCCTTAACAATTGTATGTTTTGAGCTGTACTGTACTGTACCCAATATACAAGCTGTTAATAAACTTTTCAATCAATCAATCAATCACACAGTAAAAGTACTTCATAGCACTTGTGAGAGTAGTTTCACTAGTAGAGTCCAACAGTGTCAATCTCACGAAGAACTAATGGCAAACATATTTTTTTCCCTCATGAAACTTAGCAGAAGTGGCTTGATTTTGTTCTCAGGAGGGGACATTGACAGAGGATTTTTTAAACAAACAACACACTAGAAGTACTTCATTGTATTGTGGTAGAGTAGTAGGTGTAAGACTAGAGTCCAGCAGTATCAATAACATTAAGAACTAATGGTAAAATTGTCTTTTTATCACTCATCAAAGATAGCATTATGTACTATGGAGGGGACTCTGACAGAGGATTACTAAAAGAATACACAGTAAAAGTACTTCAATGTATTGTTAGTAGCAGGCTAACTAATACACAGTCAAACAGTATGAATATCGTTAAGAACTAATGGTAACATTGTATTTGTATCATTCATCAAAGATAGCAGAAAACATGCATTATGTACTATGGAGGGGACTCTGACAGAGGATTACTCACAAAGTACACAGTAAAAGTGATCATTTTAGACACAGGTGAAGAGTTTATCGCCGGCCACTAGAGGGCAGCGTCTCACTGCTGTCGCACCGGATATGCCGCGCTCTGACCCGGTAGTACTGAGCGGCCATTTTAGTTCAAACATTGTTTATTCACTCCGCCTCGTGTCGAGACGTTCATCCACTCACACATGTAAGACTGTTCCCACTATTGTTGGTGTATATATACGTGGTGTCGTAGCATATATTTGTGTTGTGTTAATGATGACATGCATGTATGTAATACTTTGTCAGCTTACCTCGCTGTATTACTCTGTTTCAGGGTGTCGTCATCATTGTCATTAAAACACTGAAACTAACATTGAGGAGTGTGTTTCTTCATGACGACACCATGGTCGTTGTTGGATGCCCTGCCCCCGGCTGCGAGTTCAAATCCGAAGACGTATCTGAAGCACTCGTCATTGCCCTATTGACGATTCATGGATTTGGCCACCAGCACGCAGCGCGTGTCATGGCCGCGCCAGCCCAGGCCCCAGCCCCTCACGGCCCGAGACTCGATCGGCCCAAAGTTGATGTGGGCGTATCGATAGAGGAATGGAACGTGTTCATCCGCCGTTGGAATGTATTCCGCGCCGGCTCAGGCATAGGGAATGCCCAGGCCCCATTCCAGCTGTTTCAGTGCGCTGGGCCTGTACTTGGAGACAGCCTGTTGAAAGCCG